CCTCTTCTGAATCCAGCTTGCACCTCTGGAAGTTCTCTGTCAATATACTGCTGCAACTGTTTTTGAATTATCTTCAGTAAGATCTTACTTGTGTGTGATATTAATGATATTGTTCAATAATTTCCACATTCTGTAGGAATTCATATTTCTTTGGAATGGGTACAAACATGGATCTCTTCCAGGCAGCTGGCCCAGTAGCTATCTTCCAAATCTCTTGACATAACCGAGTGAGTGCCTCCAGTGGGGCATCTGTTTGTTGAAATATCTCAATGGGCATTCCATCAATTCCTGGGGCCTTATTCTTTTCCAATTCCTTCATTGCAGATTCAACTTCCTCCTTCAGTACCATTGGTTCTAGACCATATGACACCTCCTGAAATGAAGATTGACCAGTTCTTTTTGGTACAGAGATTCTGTATATTCCTTCCATCTTCTTTTGATGTTTCCTGCATCATTCAATATTTTGCCCATAGAATCTTTCAATATTGCAACTCGAGGCTTAAGTTTTTTCCTCAGTTCTTTCTTCTCAGAATGTCAAGCACATTCTTCCCTTTTGGTTTTCTAATTCTAAGTCTTTGCATATTTCATTATAGTAATTGGTGGCTTTGCTTGAGCTGCTCTATGAAATCTTCTGTTCAGCTCTTTTATCTTGTCATTTCTCCATTTGCTTTAGGTACTCTCCTCTCAAGGGCAAGTTTCAGAGTCTCTTCTGTCATCCATTTTGGTCTTCTCTTCTTTTCTCATGTTTTTAGTGACCTCTTGCTTTCTTCATGCATGATGTTCTTGATGTCATCCCACAATCCTTCTGGTTTTTGGTCATTGGTGTTCAATGCATCCAATCTATTCCTTAGATGGTCTTTAAATTCAGGAGGGATATATTCAAGATCATATTTTGGCTCTTGTGGACTTGTTCTAATTGTTTTTAACTTCAAGTTGAACTTGCATATGAGCAACTGGTGGTCTGTTTCACAATCAGCTCCTGGCCTGGTTTGGGCTTAAGATATTGAGCTTTTCCATTGCCTATTGCTACAGATGTAGTTAATCTGATTCCTGCGTGTTCCATCTGGCGAAGTCCACATGTACAGCCACCGTTTGTGTTGTTGAAAAAAAGGTATTTGCAATGCATAAGTCATTGGTCTTGCAAAATTCTACCATGCAATTTCCAGCATTATTTCTGTCACCAAGGCCAAATTTTCCATCTACCAGTGATTCTTCTTTGTTTCCAACTTTTGCATTCCAGTCACCAGTGATAATTAACACATCCTGATTGAATGTTCGGTCAATTTCAGACT